CACACACAAACTAACTTATGCATATACTGCACACAGACACACACACAGACGCAAACAGAAACAAACACACAGACATATGAACAGATACACAGACACTGATACATTTACTGCATACAGACAGACACACACACACAGACACAAAGACACACTGATGCATAAACTGCACACACACAGTCAGACACAGACACACAAAAATGTACAAAGAAACAAACACACATGCACAGACACACACACCTGAAGAAACACACACAAACACACAGATGCATATACTACACACACACACACAGACTAACAAACACGCATACAGACATATGCACACACACATAGGCTCACACATGGACACAAGTACAAACAAAGAGGCACACACACACACACACACAAAGACACACAAACACACCAAGACAAAGACATACATGCACACACATACAAACAAACACAGATACACATACAGCCAAACACACACTCACACACACACACACACACACACACATGCTCTTCTGGTATAACAGGATGTTATGGGCCAGTGTTGACAGCAGGTTGTGTGTGTGTTCATTAATGATCCTGAATAACTTCGTCATGTCTGTGTGTGTCCTGCAGTTCAGGGCTCCAGAGTTCTGGCCACTGGAGGAGCCTCGGCTAACAAGGACATTTTACAGGTGTTTATTTGACGAACATTTGCCTGAATTACTATTTAAGTTAAATAACGCAGCGTCAAATGTCTGATTTTCATATGTTTAATGTTTGTAATGAATGCATTGTGGTGAACTGCACAGGTCCTGTCTGACGTCTTCAACGCTCCGGTTTACACCATCGACGTCGCCAACTCGGCCTGTCTGGGCTGCGCTTACAGAGCTGCACATGGTGAGGCCCTCTGATTGGTCGACAGCAGCGCTCTGCTAGCATGTTTTACATTATTAATAGTGTATTTTATTATTGCTAGCATGTTATATCAATGTCAGCTCATTTTAGCACTGTGCTAGCATGTTTGAAAATGTTATTAGCGTATTTTAACATTACTAGCATGTTATATCAACGTCAGCACATTTTAGCTCTGTGCTAGCATGTTTTAAAATGTTATTAGTGTATTTTAACATTGCTAGCATGTTATATCAACGTCAGCACATTTAGCACTGTGCTAGCATGTTTTAAAATGTTATTAGTGTATTTAAACATTGCTAGCATGTTATATCAACGTCAGCACATTTTAGCACTGTGCTAGCATGTTTTAAAATGTTATTCGTGTATTTTAACATTGCTAGCATGTTATATCAACGTCAGCACATTTTAGCACTGTGCTAGCATGTTTTAAAATGTTATTAGTGTATTTTATCATTGCTAGCTTGTTATATCAACGTCAGCACATTTTAGCACTGCTAGAATGTTTTAAAATGTTATTAGTGTATTTTGTCATTGCTAGCATGTTATATCAACGTTAGTACATTTTAGCACTGTGCTAGCATGTTTTAAAATGTTATTAGTGTATTTTATCATTGCTAGCATGTTATATCAACGTCAGCACATTTAGCGATGTGCTAGCATGTTTTAAAATGTTATTAGTGTATTTTAACATACTTAGCATGTTATATCAACGTCAGCACATTTTAGCACTGTGCTAGCATGTTTTAAAATGTTATTAGTGTATTTAAACATTGCTAGCATGTTATATCAACGTCAGCATATTTTAGCTCTGTGCTAGCATGTTTTAAAATGTTATTAGTGTATTTTAACATTACTAGCATATTATATCAATGTCAGCACATTTTAGCACTGTGCTAGCATGTTTTAAAATGTTATTAGTGTATTTTAACATAGCTAGCATGTTATATCAACGTCAGCACATTTTAGCACTGTGCTAGCATGTTTTAAAATGTTATTAGTGTATTTTAACATTGCTAGCATGTTATATCAACGTCAGCACATTTTAGCACTGTGCTAGCATGTTTTAAAATGTTATTAGTGTATTTTATCATTGCTAGCATGTTATATCAACGTCAGCACATTTTAGCACTGTGCTAGAATGTTTTAAAATGTTATTAGTTTATTTTGTCATTGCTAGCATGTTATATCAACGTCAGCACATTTAGCACTGTGCTAGCATTTTTTAAAATGTTATTAGTGTATTTTAACATACTTAGCATGTTATATCAACGTCAGCACATTTTAGCACTGTGCTAGCATGTTTTAAAATGTTATTAGTGTATTTTATCATTGCTAGCATGTTATATCAACGTCAGCACATTTAGCAATGTGCTAGCATGTTTTAGAATGTTATTAGTGTTTTTTAACATTCTTAGCATGTTATATCAACGTCAGCACATTTTAGCACTGTGCTAGCATGTTTTAAAATGTTATTAGTGTATTTTAACGTTGTTAGCATGTTGTTGTATTACTGTCACCACATTTTATCATTGTGCTAGCATGTTTTAAAAAATTAATAGCATATTTTAGCATTGTTAGCATGTTGTAACAATATCTCTACATTTTAGCACTGTGCTAGCATGCTTTAAAATGTTAATAGTGTATTTTAACATTGTTAGCATGTTGTTGTATTACTGTCACCATATTTTAGCACTGTGCTAGCATGTTTTAAAACATTATTAGCATATTTTAGCATTGCAAAGATGTAACAATGTCGCCACATTTTAGTTCTGTTCGCATGTTTTAAAACAATAATAGCGTATTTTAGCATTGTTAGCATGTTGTAACAATGTCGCCACATTTTAACACTGCTAGCATGTTTTAAAATGTTAATACCATACGTTTTATTTTGATGTTTTTAGCATACTCTTAACATGTTTTAGCATTGTTAGTAAGATTTAGCACTTTGCTTACATTTTAGAAAGTTGTGTTTTAGAAAATTGCTAAACTTGTTAACATGTTTTGTCCAAATACTGTTAGCATATGTTACCACATTATAATTTCCTCTTTTTTTGTCAGTGGTTATATATAAAATGTACGTTTTTGTCTACACTAAATATATATATATATATAATGTAACGTTTCAGTTTAAAGTCAGGCTTAATAGTGACACTTGGACAGTAGATTTGTGTTGTTGTTTATTAAGGTTGATGTCAGAATGCAGTGTTTGGCTCTTTCCGCGTGTTATAAAGCTTCATAAAAGGCTCGTTTTGACTGACGTCACACTGAATGAGGAGAGTGACTTTCTCCGCTAGTTTCTCATCAAACTCACGGCTTTACAAATCATCCTCGTTACGCATGATTCCTGACATCCAGCTTTTGTTAATTAGCAGAGCAGACACTGTAATTGGCTGCATCCCTGTGCTTGTGAAATGTCACGCGTCTCCATAGAGAACAATGATTTACTGTAGAGCAGCACTAGAGCCGGAGCACAACCACAACATACATCAACACCTCATGACTACTCCAACATGCATCGAGTTGAAGGATTTATAATCATTTGTCTTTTTTGTGTTGATAATTTCTACAGTTTGACGACTAGTGTACATGTACATACATTAAGGTAGAAGCAGATGCTAATCTATCACTCACCGGCCACTTTATTAGGTACACCTGTCCAACTGCTTGTTAATGCAAATTAGTAATCAGCCAATCACATGATTAGCAGTTGATACAGGTGTTCCTCAATAAAGTGGCCGGTGAGTGAAGTTGCTTAAGGTTGCTTAGTTTACACTACAGTATTATGATTTAGAAATGTGAACGGTTGCACTTTTAAGAAGTTCTTTGATTTGTTGAACACAAAAGATCAGGCATATCATAAAAAAGAAAGTCTTCTGAAGAAGAAACAGCCATTGATTCCTTAGTAAAAAAGAACATGGAGTCAATGCCTGATGCAACATTCTTCAAAATATCTTCTTTTGTGTTCTATAGAAGACAAACACTCGCATTGGGAATAAGTAGAGAAAGAGTAAGGATAACAGAACTTTCATCCTGTAATGCAGTGTTCTGTGATATCACGCGCGCCGCATTGAGTCCTGTGCTGAGGAAATGACCTGTTATTGTAGCTCAATACTGTGATGAATGCAGCCGCAGTGTCTGCTCACGCTGGCCTTCAGCGGCGCTTCTCTGTGTTATTCTGCCTCTTTTCACAGCCAGTCTGAAGGTGATTTCACTGCTTCTAATGTTAGTTAAACTTCTCAGAGTCTGAAAGGAGTGGATGCATGTGGACCATCAGCATAGCGATAGCGGTGTGTGTGTGTGTGTGTGTGTGTGTGTGTGTGTGTGTGTGTGTGTGTGTGTGTGTGTGTGTGTGTGTGTGTGTGTGTGTGTGTGTGTGTGTATGTGTGTGTGTGTGTGTGTGTGTGTGTGTGTGTGTGTGTGTGTGTGTGTTATTTTGCATCGGATGTTAAAGGGAGAAACTCAAACATGATTTTTGGGTTTGTCAAGTAGTTGATGTTATAGATATGCATATAGATGGGGCGACACAGTGGCTTAGTGGTTAGCACTGTCGCCTCACAGCAAGAAAGTTGCTGGTTTGAGTCCTGGCTGGGTCAGTTGGTGTTTCTGTGTGGAGTTTGCATGTGTTGGTGTGGGTTTCCTCCGGGTGCTCCGGTTTCCTCCACAGTCCAAACACATGCGCTATAGGGGAATTGATCAACTAGCCGTAGTGTATGAGTGTGTGTGTGTGTGTATGGGTGTTTCCCAGTACTGGGTTGCGGGTGAAAGGGCATCTGCTGTGTAAAAATATGCTGGAGTAGTTAGCGGTTCATTCCACTGTGGCGACCCCTGATTAACAAAGGGACTAAGCCAAAGGAAAATGATTGAATGAGTACTATAGATGTGTGTGTGTGTGTATATATATATATATAAATTTCTCAGAGGTAATGTAGGGGGTCTTCTTAACAATAGAAAATGGCTGGATTGTAATTTGTTGTGTTATTTATTTATTGTGTTATTTATTTTGATTTGTTTCATAAATAGACAGGGCGTCCGCTGGGTCTTAAAATGTCTTACATTTCAAAAAGTAAATTTCAGGCATTGAGGAGTCTTAAATTCACTGAAATATTGTGTGGTATGTCTTAAAAAGTTTTAAAAAGTCTTCATTTTTCTCTGTCCAAGTAAAGTTACACAATCGGGCCGACATCCATCCAATCATCAACAATCCATCTTAATCAAATCAGGGAAAGAAAACTAAAAACAGTTACAGTTCCTCCAGATAATGTTATTTTCCATTCATACAAAAACTCTTTACAGAAGTAAGAGCGAGTAGACATAGTATTGGGAAATAGACATGACTTACGGTTTTATAACAGAAATGCATAGATTGAATAGAGCAGTGGTTCTCAAACTTTTTTCACCAAGTACCACCTCAGAAAAAAAATGTGTCTTCACGCACCACCATAATGACCGGTATTAAAATACTGTAGTGTAGTTGACCTAATTAAGCAGCTAAAGCTCTGCACAGTTCAAAAACAAGGCAGATTAATTACTATTATTGTTCATCTTTATTATTGTCAGCCACTTTAACCATTGTCACTGTTCTTAAAAAGTCAAAAGAAAACTGCTCTACTTAACTCAACTCAACTCAACTCACTTTATTTCTATAGCACTTTCACAAATCACAATGGATTACCAAAGTGCTGTACATAAAATCAAATAAAACGCATGTAAAATATACATAAAACCAAAATACATAAACTCACATCACATGATTAAAAGCTAAAGAAAATAAGTGTGTTTTCAGTGACCTCTGAAACGACTCAAAAGTGTGAGCTGTTCTTACAAAGAGTGGGAGATCGTTCCAGAGTCTTGGAGCTGCTACCGAGAAAGCTCTATCACCTCGACATTTAAAGCGTGATCTAGGAACTTACAAATAGAGACGATCCATAGAGCGAAGAGATCTCACAGGTCGGTGCATAATAATTAGCTCAGAGATATACTCAGGGGCCAGGCCATGGAGGGATTTATAAACACACAACAGAACTTTGTACTGAATTCTAAACTGGATTGGCAACCAGTGTGGAGAAACAAGTACAGGTGTAATGTGCTCTCGTTTTGTTGTGCCTGTTAAAAGCCGGGCAGCTGCGTTCTGGACTAGCTGCAGTCGCGAGAGAGAGGCCTGACTCACACCCAGATACAATGCCTTGCAATAGTCCAGACGAGAAGAAATAAAAGCATGAACAACTTTCTCCAAATCACTGAAAGAGAGGACAGACTTTAGCTTGGCAATATATGTAAAATAGAAAAAACTATTTTTGACCATCGCATTAATTTGCAGATCAAATTTTAGCTCAGAGTCAAAGATGACACCAAGACTCTTTACTGAGGAATGTATTTTCCCAGGAAGCAATGACAGATTGCTATTAGAGTCTGAACCTTTTTTGCCAAAAACAATAATCTCGCACTTATCTTCATTCAGTTGGAGAAAATTATTTGCCAACCAACACTTCACATCAGCCAAACAATCAAGCAAAGCCTGAAGGGAGGATTGATCCCTAGATTTTATAGGGAAGTAAATTTGAGAGTCATCAGCATATAGATGGTAATTTATGCCAAGCTTTTCAAAAATTTTTCCTAACGGAAGTAAGTAAAGGGAAAACAAAACAGGACCCAGTATTGAGCCTTGCGGTACCCCACAAATTAATTGCATGACAGATGAAGAGGAGTTGCCCAAACTGACTGATATAGTTCTATGCTTCAGATATGAGGCTTAAATACTTAAATGTAAAGTATTATCATAAAGTGTCCTATTCATCAAAACCTTGAGATGTTGCCTGGACCTCATAAATATAGGCTATATGTCATCATATTCATTAACTCTTTTTGATAAATTTCTAAATATAAGTTGCTTGTACACATGACTTATTTGCATATCTTTAAAATCTGAACATTACTGTGTATTTTAAATGTTCGAATTGGATTAAATTTTTTTATTAGAAATTAGATCTGCTTACTGCGGGTTAGAGTAGGCTTGTGTGTCAGAAAAGCAAGCGATTAAACTACACCTGTCTACCTTGGGATGTATAAATACGGGATGCGTCCCCAACCACCGTTACAAATATGGGAAGGAAATCCGCTTCAAACGATTGAATACATGACAAAAGAAAATTAGAAAATGGAAAATAAAATAAAAGGTTTAACTTAATAAAATCAATTTACTGATCACATCTGTGTTACCGTACACTTTAAAGGGTTAAAATTGTTTTCATTTATTTTTTCTTTAATAATTCAGCGATTCCTCCGCGTACCTCTAGAAGGAAGCCTGCGTACCATTAGTGGTACACGTACCACAGTTTGAGAACCACTGAAATAGAAGATATACTCAATCAATTTGGACCAAAAGCCAACAAATATATATTTCTGATTATTAAGTAATTGCCTCTAGCCCTCTACAACAGGGGTTCTCAATGGGTTTGGCCATTTTTACATGGTCATCAAGCCGTGACCCAAATTTTAGGAACTATAATACAGTTTTAGGAATTATACTTAATTTGTATTTATTTGTTAACATAAACAAGCAGTGACAGATACAGCATAAGAAATTCACCAAAACTTACAATTAAACAATATTTTATTGCTGTCATTTAACAAAATGGATCAAATTATAGAAATATTAGAAAGTAAAAATGACAGATACTGTTAATAATAAACTGTTATTAAAACATGTTGTCTGATTTCTAAATGTTGTTTTAATTTAGAAGGTTTTATGCTGAGAGCACCTCACTACATATGACACTGTGGCTTTAAGTCTTTTTTTGTTGT